TCCATGGAGCCGTAGCCGTGGTGCCAAAAACCAACCCTCTCCGACACACCGACCTTGTCCGACCTTGTCCGGGGACGGCGTGAGAGGCGTCGATCCCCGAAATCGCTGCACTCCGGTCCAGGCCATGGGGACTCGGATGCGGGAACGATCGCCCTCTACTGCAGTGTCTTCATGGTGACGGGCATGTTGATCGCTTGGAACATGGTTTCTTGGCGCATGAGGCCAATCGCCTGGATGCCTGGGAGGGGATGGGAGGAGCGATGTTCCACCGGTTCCTGGTGATGCCCACTCTCCCTACCTTCTGTACCAAGCTTCCCTGGGCCCTTCGACCTGGCCCTTTCTCCTGTCGGCCCGATGGGTCCACAGGCGGTCCACATCGGTCCAGTCTCCAGACCGAACCCACCGAAGAAACAGCCTGGCGGGTCCAAGACGGGTGGTGGTCGTTTTGGACCACCGAGGTCATGAACAACAAGATGTTCAGTGACGTGGTGCCCAGAGTGGCTCGACGACAGCGAGACTTTCAACGTTCGGATCGACGTGGCGAGATGTGGGGACCCGGAGGAAGAAGAGTGGAAGAAGAGTTGTCTGGTACCCCCAAATCCATACCAGGGCCTCCTAACAGGTGTCCCATTATAGCTCCTTAGGGGTGAAGGGATGTCCATACACCACCCCTGGCTCCGGTGGCCCTGTGGAGTGTTTTGGTTCCTCAAGATCATCGAAAAGCCTTCAGAAAAGCCGCCAGTCTGACAGGTCCACCAGGCCAGTTGTTTGTCCTCTCCCAGGTTTGTCCTCTGCAGGATGACCAAAGTGTCCGATGAGCATTCTTAGCCCGATTCGAATGTGGTTGCATCCCAAGGAGAAAATTCTCAAATCCCTTCGAACAAATCTGCCAAAAACATCTAAAACCTGCAGATGCTCCCAAACTCCTGGCTTTTCATGGTGTCTTATGACCCACGACTTGGTCCCGAAACTCCAGCCACCAAACCTACCGCGCACCGCTCTTTTTCTTGTTGGGCCGGAAAACAGGCGGGGGTCCGGGTCCCTGAAAACAGCCCAAAACCGGGGGCCGGGTCCCTACAGCGGTATGTGAACTGGTTTCTGGACTTGCTTTGGCTTCAGCGGCCGTACCAGGAACGCTACACCTACATCTACGCCTTGGACCGTTGCATCGAGGGAACCTTCGGCGCCTTTGGACAGCCGGCCGTGGGCTGGCTCACCGCACCTCGTTTGCGATCGGGGTCCGTCGGACCCGGACCGGGGGGCTTTTTGGGAGACACCGGGGGAGCGCGGTTCGAGACCGGGGCGTGGTGTTTGGCGAAACCGGAGTTAGGTTAGTTAGGGCATGTCTTTTTTGGATGAACGAGGAAGGGGTTGGAATGGGTTGGCCATTTTTGCGCTGGATGCAGTTGGCAGTGGATGGCAACGGCAGTACTTGGAAAAAGAATGAACAAGGCGCGATGTGATGAATGGAGAACTATGGGATTGCTATGGCACTCAATGAAGCGAATCAAACCACTTGTGAAGAAGGGAAGAAGCTTGGTCATAGTGTCATCCATTGTCGCCCTGTCGATGGATGACGGCCTCAGATACGGAGAGGGGGGCCCACCTTGAAGGCGCGCCCGCACACACGAAAGAAAACACCAGGCCACTTCAAACTGGATGTTCTTCTCGCACCATGATGTGAAGATGTGAAGATGTGCATCTTCTCGGACACGTCTCGCGACCCAGGACCGGATCTTCCACTTTGATGCTGAGATGGCCAACTCAAAGCACTGCTCCCCATCGGACGCTTTGTCTCTGGGCAAAGGCCCCGGTCCTCGGACCCGACGCCGAAGCGGTTCGGCGGGGCCTGGGGGGGGTGAACAGAGAGAGTCAACGCATGGATGACGCCATGCAGGGCCATGCATGCGCGGAGCGTGCGCGAAGCGACAAAGCGGAAGGTGTCTTTAGTGTGGCAGCAGTGGGCTTCGGCATTTGCTTCCTGTTCTACTGCGTCGCTCATTGTGCCTTGGAGGAAGATGACACTGCTCGTTCAACCTTTTTGTTGTGAAGATATCCTTGAGGAAGGGTTCCACCAACAAGATCGAAGTCTTTTTGGTTGCAGCGTCGTTTTTTTCCCAGACTTCCGTTTTGCTCATTTGTCTTTTTCAGCAAGACACATTGGCATCACGATCAAACAAAAGACCTCCTCACGGCTCCTCACTCACGTCCTCTGGATGTTTCGCACAGAGCAGCCCTCAAACATTCCAAAGCAATAAATGGAGATGACTATAATGACTAATGACTAATGGTAACCAGTCACGGCCATGTTTTGGTGGAGCTGCTCGAATTTGTCCTTTTCATGTTGAGATGTTCTCTGCATGTATGCCTCGTCTTTAGATTCAAGCAGCTGCCTGGCACCAAGGCAGTTGAACTATCTTGTTCTAACTGGTGTATCTGTGGGCGTTCTTGACACATCTTAAAACCTGTGGTGACCGTTGGTGGCCAGAGGTGAGTTTTTTGGGTTCAAGAGGGTCAAGCATGATGGAGCGTTCTGGCTTGACCTCTTCGGAAAAGCATGTCCTTGGGAGGCACCTACCCCCGAGATCGACGGCGTGCAGAGATGTTGAAGGAAGTGCCCAAGCAGGAGCAGGGTTGCAGCAACCAAGAGTGGGGTAGAGGACCCTAGCAATGCAACAGTCAAGGGAAGTGAATATGGCCACGACTGTGGCATTCTTGTGTCACCTGAGATTCACCCGAAGCCCTTGGCTCTCTGCCAGACTTTAAAAACAAAGTTCCAAGGATCCCGTAGGGATCATTTTCCATCATTTTCCATCAAAATACCATACGTTTTGTCTCAGGATTCAAACATGATGTGCTCCCCCACCGACCGTCCACCCTCGACCTGGAGGACCCGGAACACGTCGCCTGAAGAGGAGTGAGGGCGTGGAGGCAGTGTTCGCCATGCACGGCATCAATGGGGCCCAGGGCTGTTTGGGTATTTGGGATGAAGAAAAGATGAAGGACAGATTCTTGTGGTGGTCGTTTTGCCTCACTCAGACAAACAAAAGAACCTTTTTGGGGCCCCAAGGCCAGGCCAGGCCTGGCAGTGCCCGGGAGCACGAGTCTTCAGGTTGAATTGGTTGCATGTTGGCCCATGGGCATCCAGCTTGAAGAGCTTGCGCGCCCACGGTGGATGTCCAAGATGAGAAGAACTCGCAGCTTTGAAGTTTCTCCCATGTCAGTTCCAGATAGGAAGTTTTAGACAAGTTGGGCCAGGGCATTCAAAGATGATTTCAGGAGATGTTGGAACTTCTCATGCTTGCACAACCATTTGCCAAAAAAGCAGAAATCTGGAAGGCCATCAAGGACCAGGTTTATGAATTGGGTCCTTGTACATTTGGTGGCTTGTTCAGAAGAGCCTCTGCTAGATGGTCTGCTAGAAATGCAGCATTACTCACAGGGAGAGGCATTTGGAGCAGGACAACCGGCAACGCGAAGTTTTTTTTCGCAAAGGCACCGCACTGTGAGGTCCTCCGGCTCCAATCTTCCCTGCAGCCACCGGGAACTACCGGGCATACGGCAAAGAGCAAAGGTTTGCCGACACTTCGGACATATCTCGTCGACGAGGAAAGAGAATGCCTTGAAGCAGAGGGTCATGCACGGGGTTACAGAAGAATAATTCAAAAGGATCCAAGTAGGTCTGAATCCTATGTTTTATATACTTTGTTGCTTTTCCACGGCTTTCGATTTAACTTGAGACCTGTGCAAGAAGCACAAGAGGTCCAAATATGTCCATAATCATTGTCCATATGCTCCTTCAACCTTTCAACTCTTCACGTGTTCCATGTCTTTGCTCTTGGTACCTGTCCCCCAAAGTTGCATTTAGGAAGAACTTCCAAGAACTTCCAAGAAGGCCTTGGAAATGGCCGTGATGTGGCACCATCCAAGGCTAGGCCGCTTCTTCCAGCGTCGAGCCTTCGCATGTTCGTCGTGGACTGGACTCGACACCTGACGGGGACACCATGGGCCTGGGTGAAAAAGTGGCCAATTCTCGAGGCTTTCACCAGTTTGATCCAGTGTTTTCACCGCAGCCCCATGTGTTTTCTCAGTGGAACTCTTCACTGCACACCGGTGTTCCGGCGCCTCTTGAAGCGGTGGGTCAAACAAACAGCACGGCGAGGCCTACGCCCACTTCGCCCTGGCCACCCGTGGCCAGCTTTCCCTGGTGGAGGCCGAACAGGCCTGGTGAACCATGGTTGGAAGGATTTTGAGAAGATCTTTGGGAACAGGTCCATGGTGAGGGTTCAAGAAGAGGCTGGATTCCGAGGCTGCGCGGCTTTTTGGATGGATTCCGTGGATGCTGAGAAAAAACCATGTTTGGCAGTGCAGACCTGCTCAGCATGCGAGATTCTCAGTGCTTTTGCTGTTCTGTGAACCACTATGCCTGAAACGGGGAGAAGAAGAGATCCTGTGCGGTAGACGAGTCTTTATGGTGCATCCCAAAGATCAGCTCCAATTCTTTGAAGAAGCGAGATCTCAATGAAGTGGATTTGTCACCGAGTAGTTTCGCACCAGCTCTTTCTTCTTGTCTACGTGCTCATGGTTGTCCCTTGTCACAAATTCGGGGTGCCCCACCCGATTCAGTCACTCAGGTCTACCTCCCTAGCTGAGAAGCCATCACGAGGACACTTGATTCGTTTTCGTCGGCTGACTGGCACAACTGGCTCAAGACGTCGGGGCAAACATGGCACTTGAAGCTCAGTGTATGTGTAAGATTCAATGAGTTTTGAGAATCTGCGAGCAGAAAGAGCCCCAAATCCTCCAAGTGAGAAGACGTTCTCCACCAATATCTCAGCCCAATATCTCAGCATCTAGAACGCAGCCGGAGAGTGACGCAAACTTGTTCACGCAAACTTGAATGCATCATCATCACGCCTCATCATGTGTATTTAAAAAGTTCAAAACTCGATGCATATTATCATATTATAAAGGATGTGTATCATCCCAGCTTCTACCGATTCTACCTCCCGCTCCTGGCTCCCCGCTGGCTCCGCTGGCTCCGCTCCACCTCCGTCCGCTCCACCTCCGTCGCGTCGCGTCGCATCGGTCTCCCACGCCATGCCGATCTGCACAAGGGGGTCCAACGAGGGGAAGCTCGGATCGCGACCTTCTCGGATCGCGATGTGTTTGGGGACCTAACAAAACATAAGAAACCCATCTTGATAGGAGGTAGTCCTAGCCTGGAATTTGTACAGGGTTGTTCTTTCAAGGCCCCAGACCGCATTCGAGCATGTGGACAGCTCTCCTGACTCTCCTGGAGCATCCGTATCATCAGTTACGATGTTACTCAATCATGTGTGGCACCTTGTGACCACAGCTCGACTGAGGAAGTGTTTGATGCCACAGCCCAGTTTCTCCGTTGCCTCACGGTGTCTCTCCAAGACCTCGCGGCACTTTCCCATGTGGGTGAGCCTTGGAGCGGGCAGCGGGGCAGGGGAGGAGCAACACGCCGTGGAGCAACACCAACGGCAGCGTTGGAGGAGGAATGAACCACGGTGAAACAGATACGAGACTTATATAGGCCTACATGAAACAATCACCATGGCCCATGGCAGGCTTTGGGAGACTTTTGGGCTTTCTCGTGCCGCTTCTTATTCTTCATTCAGAAATGAGGTTGGGGGGTGCCCATAGGTGTGCCATGTTTGAGTTCTATCCAGATGAGCAGCTGTTTGTTGCCCAGGATCAGTGCTGAGAACTTGCTTCAGCTTGATTCCTTCAAACCACATCAGGCACAAAAGGGCCCGCTTTCCGCTGGACTGTTTTTCGGCTGGGCGGGAAGGGGAAGAAGTGCTTCTGAGGAGGACCCAGCGAGGGATATGATCACCGGCACGTCTTCCACAGACATAGGGGAGGTTCTTCACAAAGAGACCAGTGAAGGGAGTGAAGGAAGTTCATGGGGTTGCATCTCCAGTTCAGGTGTTTGGGTAAACATATAAAAAATATTGTCAGGGCTTGATGTTTGTATTGGCGATGGTGTCCAACAAGAATTGGAAAGCCCCACTGATACGGCCCAGAGACTCCTGGACCCCCCCGTTTCCCGTGCGGTGAAACACCGGGCTAGTTCGTTCGGAAGGATACCTTCTGTATCTGGCACCCAGGAGGTTCCTATTCCGACCCTGTCAGGGAAGCTAGACTTCATACACTCCCTGAACTCATCGCTACGGTGGAGATAAACCACCCCTTTGGGCCTCGAAGTTCGGTTCCTCCGAGCGCCCGGGGGGGCCCGGGGGCATCCGTGGAATAGACAAATGCTTCGAACTCGGGGAGTGTATGTTGAGGATGTGAGGACCTCATGAGGACCTCAAACCAGTTGTCTTGCAGCATGGCGCCGTGTTTTGGGGTCGCGCCAGGAGCTTCAGGCTGCCGGGCTCTTGGAGCTGCCCCTTGGCCAGTCGACCCCCCTCTTCGCGTCTCCGAGTCCCCCTCCGACGTCGTCGTCGGAATCCGTCGGGTCTGACGTTCGACGATGGGCGAAGCGGCGAAGAGGAATCCGCTGGCGCGACATGGCGAGACCCCACGTGACACGTAGGTAGCGAACTCTAGCGAACGAGTTGGACCAGAGATGAGCGACCGGTTCTCCCAGGGTAAACCCCTGGAAACCACGTCCGGGATCCGTGAAAGGAGGAGAGAGAGGTGCTATGGTGGGATCAACATGGTGCAAACATGTTCAATCATGGACCTGACCAAAAACCTTGTGCACCCTTACCTTTGCAACTTCACTGTTACCATGATACGGACGACATGATAGTCCGATCGACTACTTACTACTATCGTCTTTGCCATGAGGATGTTAGTCTCGTAGATCCTTGGATCCAACCTCCCCAAGCGTTCGTGAAGTTCGTCCAACATCAACGGAATCACCATCATCGACGTGGCCGTGGGGCCTTTCACGGTGTTTGACGACGGGACGTTCTCACGTGCACCGAAAATTGGAGGTGGAGCGAAATCCATGTTCTTCCAGCTTGTCATCCACCAATTCCCGCAAAAGCTGGTACACTGGTACACTCTGACCCAACAGTTGGACGTGGGTCAGAGCCTCCCTGTTTGTATACAGGATTTCATGGACGATTTCAGGCGGCCTAGGCGCCATCCACGTCCCGAAAAAAGCACTTACACTCCCAAGAACTAACATGGACCCGGGTCGAATGGGACCCTGAGTCCGACTGTTTTCCTCGAACGCTGCACCAGTGGTTTTGCAGGGTCTATCTGAGTTTTCCACGGGGTAGTCTATCTGAGTACGCCCAGGCATGATCCTGAGCACCGTGACGCTCGCGTGACCTTTGTGTCTCACGAATGGCGCCTCGGGACAGACGACGATATGGGGCAAGTGATCGAGTGACCGACGCCTGCAACGGTGAAGGAGAAAAAGGATTCAGATGGATCATGCCGGAATGGAAGGAAAGCCATCAGATGGATGAGTCAGGATCCTATGAAAGGATCGATGCCATCAGATGGATGTGGTTTTATGTGGTTTTTGTGGAATGGAAGGAAAGCTCCACCTCGTCCCGCTGTCCGAATGGCTCTCGCTTGCTTGAGGATGAACTTGGAGTCTCGGATAGTGGGTGACAAATGACAAACTGTGACCGTAGGGAGACTCGAAGCGAGGCTTGATCTGTGAAATCGACTTATATATTTGGCACAGATGGTAGCAGCTTTTCGTAAGCTTTTCGTCTAGGCGCTAGTCAGTATACTCTAGGCTTTTCTCCCATTTTTCCCCTTGTTTTTGAGAAAGTCTCAAGTTTGAGTAATACAATTGAGGATACAAATCTTGATGACACATTACTATTTTAGACGCCACATTGAGGATTTCCCAAGACAGGTGTGTATATATGGATCTGAGACAGGAGGCCGTTGGCGATCTAAACCACCTCAGTCATGGGGCCCCATCAAGGAGCAGATCCATGAGTGCTGAATTGCAAATGGCCTGAGGTCAAGTTTTGATCATCCAGATCCCCAGAATGCACAGCTCCACTCCTTGCAGCAGATGTTCCTTGGCGGACACGTCCTTGGTGCGGACGGCCGGGCCACAGTGGGGACGCATGTTGTGAGTGCTGTATACGCATGTTGTTGACGCCGTTTGACGCGTCAGTTGTGTTCTCAGCCTTCAGCATCCTTCCAATGGTTCCAATATGTTCCAATGGTTCCGATGGTCCTTAGTTGCAGCATGTTGTAGCACGTTGTCACTTCGGAGAACCGCCGATGTCAGAGGAATCCTGCAGGGTTTGGAATAGTGGAACGTATCATGGGTTCTCTGAGCGTCTCAAGAGGGGCTGATGAGGCTGATGCATCTCAAGAGGACAGGCACCCCAATCAAAACAGCCAATCCCTTTGGTGGCAAGGACAGGTGCCTTCGTGGCCCAAATCTTGGCCATCCCAATTCTTGTCTCATCTACTCCATCCTACTTGCCACCTCCAGGTCTTGTCTTCCGGGTCACCAACTTTCACTCACTGATTCTTCAGTGCTTATGGACTCATGTGGGATCATAGCCTACCACTCTTAAATTCTAACATCATTCAACCCAAACTCCGCATCAGTGGCAGCAGACTGCTCAGCAGACCTCCAAAGCTCATTTACGGCATGAGATCCGAATCAGAGCTGACACCGCTCTTCTTCTGGCTCTGAGTGGTGTCCGTGCCTGCAGGATCTTGGGCATCCGGGATGGCAGCATCCAACTCCGTCACGACATGAACAGCTACTTCCGCCCCGCCATGACGCGACCCGTCTCGCTACAGGAGCCGCTCGCCGCGAGCGGGAGCCGCGTGTGTTTTGGGGGGGCGGGAGTCACACGCCCAACATGAGCTGATGTGGAAACGAAGAAGGGCCATGCCGCCATGCCTGATGGTTTTTCAACGAAGAAGGAGCTTTTGTTCGACATGAGATGAGTGGATTGGTGGACTTGTGCGGCCCATTTTCAAAGTGGATTAGCCCAGGGTTGGTTAATGTTTGTTTTTGCTATAGGAGATTGGATGGGAGTCCAGAATCAAGAACCCAAGCTCAAGCAGTCCGACTATCCAGTAACTATCCCACGCTTTTGATGTGCAAGGCCACCATCCCGGCCCATCCAGGAGCTGAAAGGCATCCCGAAAGGCTACTTTTGGATCGACTTCCTTTCCATTCCGCAGGCGCGCGGAACGCGGTCTTGTTCCTCCTTAAAGCCGCGTTCCGGCTTTCAAAGGAGCAGGGGTGTCCGAGAGGAAAATTGAGGGTTTCGGAATCAAAACTACACAGGGACATACAACCCTATAGGAAAACTGCAGACTGAGTCTGACGACAAACAATGGTTTCCTTTTGCTCACTGGCCTATCAAGACAATCCATGTGGCTGGCATATTTAAGTAATATATTGCCTACAATCCATGTGGGTGGCCAAAGCGGGATAAGCGGGGATCCTGCAGTTGTTCTTATTGCACATGGAATGTTTGTGGAGTCAGTTCGACTGTCAAGCCCCGCAGACCAAATCCTTTGCATCATGCACACCCTCGATCACTCGGGTCTTCACAATTCTTTTACCACACCTACGCCTCCAATACTCCACGGATCAAGATCATCCAAGTTGCTGGTCTCTGCTTGTCATACGTGTGGTCGTCCGGTCAAGTCGAGATCGACCAAGTCGACCATGTCTGTGGGTGGTTGCTGCGTTCCGCCACCGCACAGTGAGGTCTGTCACTGCACCTCGGCGGCGGAGCGACGCCAGGTGCAAGAGGACATGCGGGCGGCAGCGGCCCGACGGGAACGCGCGGAGCGGCTGCCGGTTCGGAACCGCGCTGGGTGGGAGGGTGTTTTGGGGTGGAGGAGAGGGGTATAAGTACAAAAGACTTGAAGTCACTTGAAGTTGGAATTGGGAGTGGAAGTAGTTGAGCAGCTTCGGATTGAATCTGCTAAACCACCAACTCAAGTCCCCGTGTCTGACGACTGATACAGGCCGTGGTCGAAGTGAGGACCAAACACGTTGGAGTGAGGTAGAATCTTTTGGAGGGGACACTCCGAGATCACACGAGAGAGTGGATATTCCACAGTAGTTCGTGCAGCCGCTGTCCTGCTGAAAGCAAGAGTGGAAGCATGTCATAAAAAAAAAAAAAAAAACACTTGAACGTGCCGATATGCCGCTTCGTAGAGCACACGAGGAAGTCCCAGAGGCTGTCCCACAGTTTTGGTAGTCCAGGAATGCAGGAATGCCGCCGGCAACAGGAACAGTGGTTGGTTCGGGTCCGTCCGTTTCACGTAGTCTTCGATTGCCTCGTCTTGGCAGAATCAGGTGACCGAGTGACCTATGAGAGCCGGCAGTGGTTTCAGAGTATCGGACCGTGGTTTCACATGGTTTCAGAGTATATCAATGGGCACAGCCCTCCCCCCCAAGTTCGAAGGTTTCGATTTGGAACCCTGATCTACAAGACATCTTTGGGGGTGCCAGTGCATGTTTGTGCCATCTACTCATCTACTCCACTGCAGTATATACCGATATACCGTACTTCCTTTTCCATGACCGTCCATGGTGTCTCAGGTCATGAGCTTGCATACCTACGTGGCGCAACTGGTCATGTCGATGCTTTCGCGATGTCGTTTTCCCCGGGATGTCCGGTTTTTCCATTGGGGCTCCTTGGCTTGTGGCATGTCCCTTCTTTTGCCAAACAAATCCGGAAACGTAATAAAAGAACGATGCTCTGAGCGGAGGAAGCTTGGAGAAGAAGTGGGGCGGTGTCGGCATACACACCTTCTCTTCGGGTCCTTTTCGGGTGTCCTTGATCCGTTGATGCTACTTCTGTGCTGCGCAACAGGAGGAAGAGCTTCTTGTTTGCGTTGGCTGTTTAAGCGTGAACGAGACCTCGCCACGAAGCAGGTGCTTGACGTACGGCTGTCGGGGATCAGGCTGCTGTCCGTCGGCGGTTCCGACTCCTTTTAGATCCTGCTGACGGGAACATGAAACCTCTAGGTGCCCCCTTCCCCACAGGATGTTTACCCTTCGAAACATATGCTCTGACTGTGGGGATCAAACAACCTTTGTTGGGCACAATGTCACAAGCTTGTGTGTTTTTGTCCTCCTTGCTGGGGTGACGAGTCTTGTGATGGATCGTGAAATGTCGTGGATGCATCGAAAGGTTCGGCCTTTTCTTGGGAGGTGTTTCATTGTGTTTCATCCAAAAGGGTCCTTTCTGTTGCACTGATTCAGCCGAACACTTTCAGGATTTATACTGTATTGCCACGGTTTGTGACTGCTCAGCTATTTTATTGAAGATGAAAAACCTTGCATCAGTACGTACACAACTGTAATACAGTAATATACAGTATGGCATACTGTAGTGACTAGTGTAGTGACTATAACATTGTGGCACATCATGTGTTCTAGTCTGTTTCTTCCCGGTTTTCCAGCCTTCCTTGTCTCCTCCCGCCATCGCAAACCCCATTTCACAAGCCCCTGATGTCAAAAGACATCGGTCAGCCGAAGCCCAAGACCCCCAAGGACCCCCAAGACCTGAGGCATTGCTCCTTCTTTGTGGTCTTGGCACCGATTCAATACCACACGTCGGGTCGGCTGATGAGCCTTTGGGCGGAAGATATGTCCACGCACGGCCGAGCAGCTAAGCGATCGGACGATGTTTGAAGAGGTCTTACGCGACGGGACGACTGACGACCGAGGACGGAGTGATGTGTTTCTGTGTAGTTTTTTCCTGTGTGTTGTTCTTTTTTCCGCAAGTGCTGATGGGTCCCAGATGAACCCAGGTTACTCATCGTGGAAGAGCCGTGGCTGGTGTCAGTTCGAGCTGGCTGTGAATGGCCTCTTGGGCATCTCGACTGATGGTGAAAGGCCACCTGATGATTATTGGTGAGAGTGACTACCGTTGTGCCTGGTTTTTCTAATATCAAATATAGCGAATGAGGAACATCCAGAAATTCCGGAATTCGCACGAGGTGCTCCCAAATCTTGGAGGTTACAGTCGTTTCAGATGGCACAGACCCCATGATGTCCCATCTTTGGGGGATTGTGCCATCCACTCTCAATCCACTATAAAAGAAACTACAACAAATCGGGCTGAATGTACAGAGATGATTCTGAGCTCCACAGGCCTTGACCGCTTCGCCTCGCTGCTTTCGCCTCGTCGCTTTCGCTCGGAGTGGAGTCGAACCAACCGGCCGAGGCAGCGGCACCAAGCCTGTGCTGAATGTGGACACCAAGACTGTGTGGCATGTGCACTACCTCAGTTTCTCTGACACCAAATGGCTGGGGCCGAAAGAAACGGAAGTGACGTGACGGAAGGCCAAGGACGGAAGTGACGTGACGGACGTGACGGAGCTCGGCATGCAAGATGCCTGTCAACTTGTCAACAGTTTAAGACCTTTGATCGTTGGAAACAGTTTTGAAGCGAAGCATTGCTGGGATCGGTTTCCTTTATGTGACGGTGAAGTGGCACGAAGTGGCAGCTGAATAGGAGACGACAGATAAGGAATGATAAGGATCAGAGAAGAAGCGTCGCCTTCTCTCAGCACATCACCGACCAAGGGCTTTCTCTGACCAAGCGTCGTGTGCTCCTCATGGCGTCGCCCTGAACGAAACCGGACATGTAGAGCTGAGTTGGATGTGAGTGGTTGGCAAAAATACATGTTCTGTAAAACAACAACAACGACGTCGACGACGACAGCAACAACACAATCATTATATATATATATATATACATCTAGACTTTTAGTATACTATAGCAACGTCATGCACTTTACAGAAGGTTTGCAACTTGAAACTAGAAGCATCCTTGTTGCAGTTGAACCGTTTTACATTCAAGATGTTCATGACCTATCTATGTCTTGACAGGTACCATGAACATTCCGGTGGAATGTGGATTTGCGTCTGCCCTGAAAAAAGAACAGATACACACAAAACACACACACACACACCCTTTTCCCAGTCTTTACAAGGCACATCGATGCTCATGTCGAAACGCAGGTTTTTGGCAGCTCTCGCCCTGCTGCGGCGACTTTACGAAGGCGGCACGGCGGCATGGCCCCTCAAACACGGAGCTCAATGTCAACACGTTCTGCAAATCCAAGCCTTTTTGGGAGTGCTGGCCATGCTGGCCACCATGTCTTGGATTGCACCCAAAGGTCAACGCTTTCTGCAACCCCAAGCCTTTTGGAGAAACACAAAAGGTGAGAGAAGCCACCACGGACTGTGAGGGTTGACGGAGTTCGGTGCTTTTGACTGCACGGTGCTCTCGGTGCTTGATACTTTCTTCGTCAAGGGAGCAGACACAGGCACGACTGGGTCCTGGACACACGATGACGACCTCGTCCATTGTGAACCGAGCCCAGCACAGGTGGTGTGACTCTGAGCAAGTGGCATGACTAGGGGCAAAATGGGACATGAGAAGCAGGGACCACAGCCAACCAGAACAACGTGCCACAAGAAATAGTGTGACACCGAAGGCTTACGAGCTTGGATCTGGGCCTCATGCGAAGCATCAAACGAACCGTGTCTTCAGGCTTACACGGTGAAACGACCAGAACTAGGACTTTTGGGGGCCAAAGGGGAAATCCATCAACTCTTGTTCGCCTGGCTGTGGTGGTTTTGGTGGTGGCTGTGAGTTCAAACCTTCCCCACCAAAACCATGGGTTCGGTTATGTTCGGTTGACCTCCATCAACTGAGAAATCGGTTCATGTTGGGGGGGCCACCAGGGTGCTCTATGGCCTGGTCATATTCTCTTTGCAGGATGAAGACAGATACTTCATCGCTGATGCACTGCAGCAAGTCATGGAGCACATGGAAGACTCTCTGCGAGCCTTTGGCATGGCATGGATGCGAAAGCGTGGCATCGATGCGAGTACATGGAATGGGGATGACATGGCTGTGGGTCATGACACGAGGATACCAAGCGGTTGACCTACCTGCAAGGTCAAGCTACATGGTGGACCAGGGATCCAGGACCATCCCCGGACCGTCCCCACATCTTTTCAGACCAGGTTCGGGGTTTCTTGTTGAGAGCTGCATTTTTTGGCTTGCAAGTGATGACTGGATTTGGGGTTTAGGCTCGAATGACTTCGTCAAGTTGACTCGCTCATTTTTTGCTATTTTTGGGGATTTCGGATCCTTTTTTTTGACAGCAGACTTGATGGATCTTGATGATACCGACGAGGGAATCCCTGCCCCTAGGGGGATCCTCCACGTGTGCACCAAGGATCCTCCAACAACGCGCACAGGCTCCACTTGCTGCTGAGCTCAGTTATGAGCAAAATGAATATCGGTTTGGATGAGAGGAGATGTTTTTGCATGTGTTTATGACAATTCCCCTGGTGTCTATGTTGTAACCCATTGGTGGCACTTGGCAGGCTTCTTCTTGACATGATGGTAGAAATATCTACAAATGTATGAAAGCATGTGAAGACCAACCATTTGCCCAAGAAACTCCAAGTAGCGGTGGGAGCATGGAGCTTCCTAAGATTATCGTGTTCAAGAGTACAGGCATGTTGGGGTTTGAGGGGAGGAACTTTGGAGGGACATGGGTCATCCAAACACTGAAGTACTTTCTTTTCTAAAGGGTAGCATTGGAGCCTCCACTTGCCAGACAAGACATGACAGAATCAAGAATGACAGCATCTTGCTTGACTGGAGTGAGAATGACCAGACTGAGGATGTCCTTGAACAAGAGGCTGTTTCTGGTGCCATTCCAACTGTTTGGAACACACATTTGGGCATTCGTTGGGGATCACTCCAAACCGAATTGAGCAAACTGAAATGGAACCAATATATATATATATACACTCCAGTAACCATTGCAGGGACGTTGCTCAAGGGTCTCAATCACCGTATTGAGAGTGTATAACAACTCGGACATAGAAGAAAAACATATTAACAGGGTAAATGAACACAACTATAACTGCAGGACTATCGTTTCTTTTTGCTAGCATTACGTCATCTTCAACATGTTTCAGTGGATTTTGTGCACTTGGGGTTGCCGGACCGCCCAGAAAAGGTTTCCATGTCCGAGGATGGGGTTGGTTGACTGGGGGGTACCCGAAGTGGTCACAGACCAATCTCTTGGAAGACTTGGAAGACAGACTTGGGGGCATGGAGGTGCTGTGAGTTGCATGAAGCTTTCCCTAAGGGTCAACACAGCGTTTGGATTTCAGGGGTGTGACGAGGGAACAGAGGCATCTTTGGAGATTCATCCTCTCCCTACAGGTCCAGTCTGACCCAGTAAAACCTGGTCCTTGACCTCATTGAGCCCTTTTGTATAATCAACTCCAATCACATGAAGGCCCTTGACCTGATAGACCTCTTCTTGAGTTCATCACCCCCCTTCATTGTCATGCACCAGTCGTCGTTTGGTCAATTGCTTTGGCTCGTTTCCATATGTTTCCCTGCCCGGAGTCTCCAAAAAGCCAGCAAACATCCAACAGGGGTCGAACCGGTGGGTTTGGGGATGTTTTTTGGGATGAAACTCGGCTCGAAAACCCGCCGTTGAAAGGCGCAGCTTCGCCCAGGCTGCAGAATCTCCGTAAGGAGTTGCTGAAGTGTCGCGGCTTCGAGATTACCATGCCGCGCATTCGGACCAAGGACTCCACCGGTGTTTTCAGACGTGACTGGACGTGCGGGCGTCTCTGGACGTGCGGGGTGTTTGATTCGCTAGATGTTTTCACTCACAGGTTCCCAAGCTATTGTGCCGGAGCAGAGAATGTCGACTTGGAAGAATGGACCAAAAACAGCAGCTCGATATTGTTAGTATGGGGAACTCTTGGGGTATGACAGGGTGTTGCTGATACACATAAAACCAGCTGAGATGGTCCTTTGGGTTCGCACATCTTCGCACTCCTTCAGACCTGTCGGAAAGGTCGGGTATGGTCTCCGTGTATACCGCTTCAGGACAGGAGCTCAAGCAGTGGTCTCTGGCCGGGCTTGCACTATGCGGCGGCTTTGGATGATGTAGAGCTTGTTAGGACCCTTCTCAAGGCAGGCACGCGGCACACACGCGGCACGCACGCGGCACGCACCTGCGCATCTGGTGTTCGTCAAGGGCACACAGATGGGCTTTCCATTTGGCACAGACTCGTCCGAAAATTCATTGACCTCCCTGGGCAATCGAATCTCTCTAAGTTTCCATGGTATCCAAGAGAAAGAGCGAAAACACATGCTTCTCTCCAAACGCCGGGAACCGTTTTCCTCGGTGTTCTCGTTTCTTGGGTGCGAGGCCGACGCAGATGTGAACGCATGCACTCAATGTAAAGCGACGCGGAAGCATTTGGTCATTTGGGATGTCACAATCACAGAATCCACTGCATCTTCTGGAGAACTCAATGAACTGTCCCCAGAGAACCTCGAGTTGAGCTTGGCACCCAAAAAAGACGTTAAATGTGTGTGAAACCTAGAGTGTATAGGAACGTCTAAATCCAGGCTACTGTAATGAAAACATGATGATGCACAATTTGAGGATCGGTCTTTTGAAGAAGACTCTATCCTTTCTGTCATACGGATTTGTTTCTTTCCAACAAGTATTGGATTGGAAGATTGGAAGTTGGATTGGATATTCTTATTCAACTGGTATTTTTTTAGTGCCCTCACATTGTTCGAAGCACACTGGCACCATCCTTTGTGGAACCTACGCCTTCATACAAGTGTCCTACCTGATCCAAGACCTTTACCAACCTTTATACAATATTTGATAGAACTACCAAAAAATCTGGTCGTTTGGTTGCGCTGATTTGCGGGCGTTTGCGCGGAAAACTGGGTCAATAACCAAAACTACCAGATTTTTTTTGTCGTTGGAAGATCTATAGTACAATATATATATATATATAAGACCGAGGAAACAAAGCGCAACACGTCCCACTTGATCCATCCGAACGCTACCTCGCTACCTTACTCCTCGTAGACGAGCGCGTTTTTGGAACCTCAGGATCGATGCATCGATGCATCGATGCGTCACCCGAGTGTACCGATGTGTCATGGGGATCTCATCCCGTCTCATCCCAGCTTGCCAACAGAGGTAGCCAGTGACCGGTTTCATAGGACCCGTTTTATTTGGGGGTACCGAACTGGGAGAGCCGAACAGTCGGGTTCTTCAACCTCTCTTGGTGCTTTGGCGCTTGATCACCTGGACCCTGAAAACGGGTGGTGCAGCGCCAAAACAGTCGGGCACAGGGTGCTCCGATCCGGGTTCGGAGGGCCATCGGGTCCGTGCATCATAGATGTTCCAATGATTTCAACTTGGACCTGTTTTTGTTTCACCCTTCCCCCACAGCTCCGAACTCACCCCTCAATCCTGCGCCGAGGATTTGGACTTCCAATTACAATGTGGGCAAACGCCCCTGCATGTGGCTGGGCAGCATCTTTGGGGTTGGTGCCTCCGTCAGCGCATGTCAGGGTGGCAGGATTTGGGGTAGTACTCAAATGGGGCATTTACTATCCTCTTGGTACCACCCATCAGCCATGCTAAGCTCGCAGCTTTTTGACATCCAAACTGAACGATGAAAATGATGTACTACAGCCAGCACGTCTATGAGCCTGGCCCATCAGTTATACATGGTCAGAACATGTTCAGATCAATGGCATGTTAACAATTCACCCCCCTTGGAACTAGTTCCCTTCGTTCCATTCCGTCGCCGTTGGCCAATTCGTTCGATGTGACGTGTGTGGTGCCCCGTGTGGGGTGCCGGTGCCGTCGCCGACACGGAGGTTTGGGCCGCCTTCTCTCGGGATCCCGCAGTAGCAGAAGCCCTACTGCAACGTAAAGCCGAGGCCAGGCCCCACACGGGACGACTCAGACGTGGCACGACTCGAGCGGAGTCCGATGTGTTCTTGGGGGATGGCGTGGAGCATGTCCGGGAGAATTGAGGATCTAAGATCTTTTATCAGCTACAATACAGTTGGAATGTTTGAAAGAATGCCACCTACCAAAGCATTTGTGTAATAATGCATATAATAATTGCATATATGTAAAGTATATACATTACTAGTATATGGGAAAAATGTGTGGTTGATCATAAAGGGAACAACACTGGAAGATGGTGGAAGTCTGTTATGAGGTCCCTTGTTTTGCATCTTGGAGCTGATGGGAGCTGAGTCCCCTGCTAAGCATGAATTCCATGGCATGACCCGACTCGACGGACAGCCCGTGTCACGGACCCGACTCGTAGGTTTCGATGGGACGCCCCGCTGGATGGTCTAGGTGATAGAGAGTACTGTAAATGAGTTTAATGATTGTCCTCTGCTATGACAACCAAGCATCGAGAGAGAGAGGGAGAGAGACACACACACAGAGAGACACACACACAGAGAGACATAGAGAGAGAGAGAGAGAGAGACACAGAGAGACATAGAGAGAGAGAGAGGTGAAATACAATGTCACAATGAGTCAGTGACAATACTGCAGGGCCCTTGAGCTCAGGAACAAACAATCACAGTGTGCGCAAACGAAACGTTCGACATTTAACATGGTAGCAGAGCAGTGATCCTGGCAACATCTCCAGGTGAGCTCTGACAACAAAGCAAGAGCAAGCAGAGCCCAACACACAAGCAAGCACAACTGAGACAATAAACTAGAGTAACTAGAGTATATAAGTCAGAGTAAGCCTTGATCCCAGAACACTCGGGGCTGAAGTGCAACAATGGCACAAGCATCAAATGGACCGGCACAACTTGAAATGGACTCACCAGCAGCACAAGCAGATGAACAACAAGGACTATCAGCTAGCATCAATACACCGATACAAGCTGAAGCCTCCTTTCTACAATGGTGACTATGGCACCTTTGAAGAATGGAAGTACATTTTCACGGCATGCATAGGCCTACTGGACAATGACTACACAGAGCTAGTGCAATAAGCAGAACAAACAATGTCACAACGTCACAGAAGTCGACCTTGTGGCAGCAGCATCTACAAGGGAAGAAGGCGACGTGCATGGGTACCCTTCTGTTCGCACAGACCTGAAAATGCATACTGCGAGGAGAGCATCCCAACGCGAGGAGTCGCAACAATATGCAGACAAGACCAACGCGAGGAGCCGGCTTCGAGATAGATAGACAACGATGCCACCGAAAAACTCGCCATCTCTCGAGATATACAGGAGCATCGGCTACCTCACACAACTGCGAAAGCCAAAACGTCGACACTTCAACAGCAGCACACTTGGCGACCTTTGCAGCTTCGAATGCGACACTTCAACAGCACCGCCTGACCAAGTGAAGGCGAGAAGAAAAAGATTCTTCCTTCTAAGGGAAAGAATGGGGGCCTTGACAGCAGCAGCTACAACTCAACCAAAACATACAGCGAGATAGAATGACCGATAACCTCCAAACATTTAAAGGATTTTAAAGGATTTATCATTATTGGTTCTTCTAATTGCAATTTACTTTCATTTTAATCATGGAATACAATAGAGTCTATAGAGCAACAACAGCATTCAGCAAGATGTGGGCACAGTCCTGGAGCATTGGAACAAGCTACGGCGGAAGTGCGCCACCTATGGACATAGGAGCAATCAAAAGCAAAGGAAAGAACAAAGGAAAAGGACAAGGTATTTGTTCCTAGTAGCTTCTTGTTACTAGTAGCGATGGCCTCCAACCTACGTGCGATGGCCTCCACCTAATAGAGTCCTTGCTACAAAGGAAGAGGAGGAAAGGGATACGGCAAAGGATGCGGGTTCGGTGGCTATCAGCAGCACTACAAAAGGAAAGGAAAAGGAAAACACGATGGCTAGCAGCAGACACCCATTTGACAGGGCAATGCCGGATATCAAGGCAAAGGATGGAACCAGCATAGACAAGCACGGGGCAAAGGAAACGGAACGCGGCAAAGATGCAACAAACATTTGCTACAAGTGCGGACAGTATAGACATTGTGCACGAAACTGCAGAGTGCAAATCTACAACTTGGCGGGCACAACGCAAGCAGAAGCAAAAGCAGACTGACGGGCAGACAACGGACAAACCTATTTTTGCAATTGATTGTAGTATTGATTCTCCTTTCTTTTCATTTCGGAGATTGTAAGTATGCACCTTCAGTCTCAGGTTCTTTGTTCTTTGTAAGATATTATTATCGGCAACTAGATCTCAGCCAGCCAGTCATTGGCTTAATGGTGTTGAGATTTCAGGAAAGGATATAATATTCATGGGGAATACACTTTTTCACTATTGAGGGCCCTTAAGCAGATCTATTATTAAGGATCAGGGGCCTTCCTGCTCTACTACCTTGAACATTTGTTTAGGAGCAATCTTCACATAAAGGATTGGTTAAAGAATTGATGGTTTTTAAGCTGTGAGTTTTGAAGAAGAACTAAAGAAACCTATATCATTTATACAAGTGCCATGGCTTTACTGGCATTAAGATCTCAGGAAAGGATGTTCCTCTTGGGGGAAAAACACTATATAACTATATATATGTTGTCAACTATTAAAGATTAGGATCAACCAAAAATGACACAACAGAGAACCCTCAAAACAAAGATGAGGTCGAATTACTGTTTGAAAAGCTTAGCATTATTGAGAACCTTATTACTAATCAGGATCCAACATTTACATGCACCCTAAAATCCTGAGAGCCACGGGGTCGAGCTGAGGAACAGCCACGTCTTCCCACAGCCCACCACTCCTGGTCCTTGGAGGAGAGATTATATAGATCGGGTCGATTCCCTCCCGGTCGCTGGAACCCATGTCGGTCAGGTGGACGCTTTAGATGATGACCGGATCACTCCATTGATGATCGCTTGCCAGATGGGCAACGAAGCCAGTTGCAGGACCCAAGTCTTGCCGCCGAGTCTTCGGCGCATGTTCGGCGTCCAAGAGCATCGCCGTTCCGAGCTCGTGGGGTGCGGTGGAAAATGCAGCAGTCGACTGACCGTCTACCCATTGGTGAAGCCATTGGGTTGGGAGGGTCAGGGGACTCAGGTCATGTCCATCAAGACATGACTCAGGGTTCGGTGGATCATGGTGGATCATGCCAACTCCCTGCAGAATTGGTTGATGGGTTGAACTCTATTTGGGTAAAGGCCGCCCCAGATGTCCCCTATGATCACTTGTCTAGCCAAGTGCTGTGGATCTATGTTTCAGGGTGGTTTCCTGCAGAACTTTGTGGAACGCATGTTTTGAGCCAGCTTTGAAAATGGTTGACCAGCAAAAAGAAGACGCCAGTCTTTGCATGAGCAATGATCATAACACCCTGCACGCGGTGAGAAAAATACCAGCACATGATCGCTCCCAAAAAGGTCGTAGGGACCGGTGTTTGTGCCGCTCTCTCAGTGGCTTTTTGGGAAGTTTGAAGAGCAAAACCCCTTCGAGGGTTCACCATGGTGCACCCATCCCATTGAAGTGGTGTCCCCGATGGTCTCCCATGGTGTCCCCAAAAAGGTCGTTCCGGGGTCGCCGCTTCTTCCGCACCCACAGGGGTGGGGGGGGGTTCCCCATGGAGGAAAGGGCTTCTTCTTGTGGAACGATCGCAGGATCGCACCTCTGCGCAACACATTTGGAGGCCCCACCAAAACGGTGCCCCTTGCGCCCACAAGTGACGGCGAGTGACGGAGATGTGGTCATTCCGGCATGGTTCATGCGTGCGGAGGAACCTTAGGTGTTGCTTGAACATCAATAAAGCGGCCCAAAGCTGAGGGCGCATGCCATGACGGCCATGAATTTTTGGGCACCTGAAACCATGGGTTCGGTACTCAAAAGGTTGAGACTTGCTCCTCCGTTTTCCTCAGCATCCGCCCCTGAAAGAAGCAACCCGAAAAACCGGTGCGGGCCGCCTTTTTTATCTTCTTTATCTGCGTGCTCGGCCGGAGAAACCTCGCGCCGCACCGTTAGCGCACCAGGACCTTGTTGAGGTGCTCGGCCAACGTGAACCACCAAGACAAGCTGTGCTTGACGCCGATTATGCTCGCAGCGGCATCGGACCATGCTCGTCTTTTCTGCTCCCTACTGGAGCGGCGAGCGCGTTTCGGGCAAGATGCGAGCGGCGAGCGCCTTCGGGGTCTGGCTTTGGGCCGACACAAAGCTCGTTGGAGTGTGGGGAGATTTTTCGGAATGACAAGCAAGGGGGAATCACAAGCATTTATTGATGCTGATGCATTGGAGAAACAAAGAAACATGACTGGAGGTCAAATCCGGCAATAACCTGACTATGCTTCGAATCCAATCCCACTTCCAATCCCATCTAATCCCTCAATGCCTTTTCGTTCGACCTCCCAGAACATCCGTCAATTCGGTGAAGATCTTGAAGAAGGTTGCTTCGATCGCGTGGTCAAGGCCGTTTTTAGATGCCAACATGCTTTCGATAGGCAGCGGTCCAATACTGGGGGTCATTGCGCCCTGCGCCCTGAAAGAAGCGGTGGTATTATAGCTTCATCCAATTGGGTCAAACGAAGGAGACCGGACCGAGAAGGAGTCACATGAAGCATGAATTCATGAAGACTGATTAATAAAACCTTCAAGAAGATGAATTCATATGGAGCATGTGTTTGCATGCTTTCTTGCGCGCAACCTTGCTGTTCGTCGCGAGGAGTATGGTGCAGATCCTCTCTATCAATGGGCTGGCGTAGGGTTGTTGCACGTGGTGGCAGCTCACTGTACAGACTTCACCTCCGAGTGCCTTCAAAACCTTCTGAAGGAAGGCTTGCAGGTGCGGCAGGGGGGACTGCTCTGCCGGACTCCCGGCGTCACGCGGGGACGCCGTCACTTGTGCGTCAGACCGGGACGCCGTCACGTAGGAAGAGATGAAGAGTCCAGGTGAAGACTGGGCCGTGCCTCGATGTGGTCGTGGTTTCATCCCACTTGTTTGAAGACATCTCCAACATTCAATTTGTCCTTGACGTTGCAAACACCTCCACTTTGTGTGAAGCGCAGCAAAGACCAAGAAGCTGCCAAGGCGAGAACCTCCTAGGTGGTGAGAGAAAGTGTAGTTGGAAAGGTGCATGCCAGAGGGAAGAAGAACATAAAATACTCGTCTTCCTGAAACTCTAGGAGAACTCTAGAGAATCACTTGGATTCTTCAAGAAACACATCCAAACTTCTGAAACTAATCCTTTCTCTCATCCCACGCAACGCAACGCCATCCTCACGTCATGCGCCAGCGCTTTTCGCGCCTTCGCCTCAGCCTCCCCACGCCGTGGGTCGCCGGGTCGCCTCTCTCGTCGCGGTCGCCCTCGTCACGCACCGCACAGTTGAAGAGCCAGTGCTCGATCCGATTCTGGAGCTCACCAGGCTTTGTCCTTTGGTGTGCCTTGTGCCTGGGCCTGCTTTTTCTGGAAACGAGCGGAGCGATGCGGAGCGATGCGGAGCGATGCGGAGCGATGCGGAGC